GGGCTTTGTTTCTTATCTAATAAGAGACATCTGATGAAAGACAGGGAAAGATCTCACCTCCAGCTGCCTACAACAATCAGCTTCTTAAAACAAAAATTCCTGGCAGGGACCATAAAGCAAGAAAGCAGAGGTGTTGGGGCATGAAGATGGGCAGCGAAAAACTCCCATCTCTGTCTCTGGATGACCTCTCTGCAGCTCTGCTCCTCCATATTTAGCTCCACCAGACAAATGTGTGCGCAGTGTCCCAGACTACCCCTCTCAATGTTCACTCCACTCTTTTCCTCATTCCACTCAGCACACTCGCTCTGCTTCATCGATCAAACAGACCCTCCTTGGTGACACACCACTTGCTCTGCTGCTTTTTCTCTCAGTTCATTTCCCTCAATGGCCAGTGAGACCTGCCGGACTGAGACGCTCTCAAGACAGAATGCAAGTGCAGGTAGAGAGGAGTGGATGGAAACAAATATATGGGAGAAATTCTGGAGGTGATAACAGAGACAGAACCTATGTGTGCATGTACGTGTCAACCTTTAGTCTTCACCACCCACCATGTCATGCTGCTTTCTTGTCCATTTCACTCCGTCTTTATCGTGAAGGCAGGGGGCCTTTGGGATCTGCTCCTAAGTTTATACAAGACTCACGCTAAAGGACTTGAATATAAGACCCCAGAGTAGCTCACGCACACAGCTTAACTTGAGTCAACACAGGCTTACAACTGGATCACCTGTGAGGGAAGCCAGATGACATGGTTCTGTTTTTTTAAAGTACATTGTGCATGTCCTCTAAGACATAAAGTAAAAAGGAAGCACTGATGCTTTATATTTGCACATTCCACACTTATCATTCAAATGCAAATAGAGTAACATGATGCTATTATTCTGCCTTCAGTCATTCTGCACTGATCTGTGTTTTTCCTCATTCCTGTTGCTTCCTCACCAGTGAGTAGGTGTAACAGGCTGCAGAGTATTGCCTCAGAGAGCTTGCTCACTACAGGAGCCGTTAATGAGCAGCAATTATTAAAAGCAGCCTTTCATCCTCAGGGAGTAGGGAGCCTCAAGGATTTCTCTTCATTTCCTAGCTGTGATTCTTTAAGCAAATTTGAAAACAAGGCTGCATGATACTGACCTCAAAACTCTTGAAATATGACTTCAAATAAAATACTAGAAATGACACATTTTGCAATGAAGCGAGGGGGGGAAATGAGATACAAAGAAGGCTGCACCGAGTGTTGCTAAAAGCATAGTCAATTACACACAGAGAGAGCTGATGGTTTAATAACTGCCCTCTCGATCCATCTCCACCATACACGTACACACACAACCTCTCCACAAGCAGAGAGGCAGCCTCCGTTATTTCAATCACGCCCCCCTGTGGTAGCTCACAAGACTGCTACTCTGGAGGTGGCATTATAAGCTGTGAGCTTAGTAACTGTATCGCTGTGCATACTGTCTGCTGTGTACAGGATATATTCTCCAGCAGGTCACAGGAACCCTTAAATAAAACATTTACCACAGGAAAACTAATCTATGTAAATAGCACTGTGGTTGCCTTTGTGACTGCAATCACGGAACTATGAATCTGCTATTAGGAGAACGTAGGAAAGCAAACAACAAAAACACAGAGAGGCATGCAAAAAAAAGGACAAACCACTACTGTGTCATCTTATTACAGCAAAGACATGAGTATTTAGCATAGCTCAACAGAATTATGACAATGCCGTCTCAGTGGGGCTGTCTTCTCTTGTGTTCACATCCATGACTGTAATGGTCCAAATAGGAGAGGAGTGAACTTGAGTTGAGCCATCCCCGCAGTTTGACAATGGCCTGTCAAGAGAAATGCACTGTAACCCTGTCTGAGAGAGAGCTGGTGACACTGAGCCCAGAAGGGACAGACGACACCATGGAGAAGCCAGCTTTAAAAGGCGTGCTGGGGCTGAAGTAATTATAGCAAGGTGCCTAAACACACATATACCGATAATATATATGTACTGTACATGTATGCAGAATGATACACTCGCCATAGTGACTTCATGTGCCCAGAAGCAGGTCAGACAGCTATTGATACATAAAAAAAAAAAAAAAAAAAAAACTGGAGCCAGATGTTGCCTTGTGTAAATACTGTCTTTCGAATATGCATACAAAGTCTTTACCCTTCCAGAGTTTCCACAATTGTGTAAGAAAGTGAGGCGTAAAATCAGCTATTCACAGGGTCTGTCCAATGTGATCAAGGCAGATAAACTGACACTAAAATGGGCTGCTGTTCTTCCTGTAAAACAATGTGAAACAAGTTGTCATAGTTTCTCTATCCATTAGCTGTGGCAGAGCAGTGGAATGTATGTGGAGTGAGAGTCTATTAAGTTGAGCACAGCTTCTGTTATGCTCACAGTGAATCCACGTAAGTCTGTGTGTTTGTTTGAGTGAGCCAACAGTTGTTAGTGAAATAGCTCCACCATTGACTGAAATAAATGGCTGACCTGCAGCAGAGGTTCTGCTTCTTCCCTTGTTTTTAGGGACTATCAATCTCAAGTTTACAACCACCAACCTCTGGGCTGGAGCAAGGTTTGCCCTTATTTACATGCAGTCTTGAAAACCAAAGTAAATGGAATCATATATGCTCTGATCTGGAAAATGGAGAAGCACATGCATGAAAATACAAGTGTATCAAATATCTGGATTTTATCCAGATTGGGCATCCTTTAAGTTCTCTGTGGATCCAAGCTGCATATGAAGAAGCATATTTTTTCCATGAAAATAATCCCTTCCTGCCTTAAAATGGCTTAGATGTAACTCTACACAGTGGTTTGTTCTGGAATGTACAGATCTATGCAGTCCCCAACTCCCTCCCCACCACAGTCAGCGTGAGATCATCAGCTCACCTACAACTCTGCTCAAACTCTGTAACACTAGTTTATGCTACACAATGGCAAGTTGTAATATTGGAGTAATTTAGCCATATTTGTTTGAATCAGAAACTGGCTCTAAAAAAAAGAATAAAGCTACTAAAAGGCCAGAAGTTGAAAAGATTGGCTACTTATGTTTGTTATATATGAAACCCAAGATGTTGGACTCTGTGGTTTAGAACCAACTTCAAGGTGGACATGTTCAGCCACGGCACCAATTGCTTATTTTGCTCATGATATGTCTTGTAGCACATAAAAGGTTACATAAGAACATGTTACCAAGGGAAAACTAAACTTGATCTTCACCAGAGGGAATCTTCAAAAAGTGCAAATTAATCTTATGCAATGGTAATCAATTAGGAATTAATTAATGGTGATAAAAGTCAAGTTAAAGAATGAATATAAAAATGAGTAAATGTGAATGTGAAACTAGAAAACAGTCTGGTTAAGTTTAGAAAGAGAGTGATAAAGTTGGAGGGGGTGGCAGTAGGCCAGAGGACATCCTGTCAGTCGGAGAGAAGTGGAAAGTGTTACAGAGGTTATACTACATTGTGGAGTAAGTTTTGACTCATTCTTAAACTTTCAGACTTTCAGATAAATCTTGAGCAGTCTGCAGTGTCCTGCTGTTCCACAGAAGTGCTATGATATAGCAGGGCATGGTGACAGTGAAAATCATGAGGACAACCCGTGTGTTGTTCCCTTTAAATTGGCTTCTTATGACATTTTGGTGGCTACCCGACAGTGTGCAGGTTTGAGGAAGGTGTCACATCATCATTCCGAGAAGTGTTCATGATCTAGTCTCTTGCTCAATGACACTTCAGAGTGAATGCTTGTTTACCAGCGCATGGGCACATTTTCAACACACTAGACTGCTTTGCCATTCTTAAAGTGATTCATCTGGAATGTGTCACGGAAAAAGTTTGAAACATTCAAGACCTTTATTTTTACGACTATTTGTAGTTTTCTGTAGGGCACCTGAGGCACGACAAAGGCTGAATATGGGGTGTGACACAGTGAAAGAAGACTTTCCTGCTTGAAACGCCAATCCCAATAAAAAGGAGACTTGTGCCTCTGACCACTAGGGGGACTGAGAGCACTGAGAATCATGCCATTATAAAGTCAATCTTCTGCACACAGCTCTGCTGCATATAATTATTGCTGTGACTAGGACAAACTTAACACTTCCAGATAGCTTTATATGACCCTGCAGCTGCTCCCTTTTTTCTTTTCTTAGAAGAATGATTCATTTGCAATACTTGCATAAAAGACAAAGATTTGCGTCAATGTGCATGTGTGCTACCTTCTAGTGTGTACATGTTGTGTGTGTGTGTGCGTGTGTAGACGTGTGATTCATCATGGCTGCTATGTTGACCTTTAGTAGCTTATTCTGTTAGGCAAGACTTCTGCCTTGCCTGACAGTGAAGAGCAGGAGGGTCAGGTATGACATGAATACTTTGTGACACACTGTTTTTGTTGACAGGGTTGTTTTTTTTCAAGAATTTAATCAAACAGGGTAAATGAAAATGAAAGATCTGCCTGGAAAAGGATCCTCTACAGACAGACAACTTTCTCTTCAGAGCCATAGTATCTTTGCTCTGTATTACATGCACAAAGACAGTAATCCACACTTTGTCTATGTTGTCTCTAAAGTGTAATGGAGAAAGTGACAGACCTACATACCACTGGGCTCTACTTCTGGTTAAATCAGGGGCTCTGTGGTTTGCTCAATAGTGAACTTGCTGGGAGATGTAGTTGACCTTACAGGAACTCTCTTTACCTACAACACTGACTAGCGTATCTCTGACATTAGAATGACATAACCATATCAGGCAACAGAGAGTATTCAGTGGATACAAAGTTAAGCGGAGTTGCTTGACTTAAAACAGTCCAGTGAAACAACACTGAAATATGGGATAAAGCAACTGATGTGCTATATTTAAATATTTATTCATATTTTCTAACTGTAAGAATGAACACTGTATATGTGATCATGTAAAACTAAATTCAAATGCAAGGGCATTTGGTCAAAAATGGTAGGTCACAGATTCTGTTTGTGTTTGTGTGTGTGTGTGTGTGTGTGCATGTGTGTTTTACTGACCCTGTTCTCATCGTAGATGATCTGCACCAGGCTGCGGTGCTTGGCCTCACTGGGTGGCGGTGAGATGGGCTGCTCTGGCTCATGGGGCTTTGCAGCCTCCTCCTCCAACTGTTGCTGTAACACACACACAAATAAAAATAACAGTTAACACTTAACTAAAACCAAAAGGGCTCTGATCTTCAAGACAGTGCATACACATTTCTGCTGTGAGGTTAGACAGTCTGCATTAAATCAACTGTCCCTCCTGAGCTCTCCAGCATGGATGCCACTAATTGCCTTATTTGCTGGAATAGCCATTACCTCTTTAGGGTTTGGATAACCAAACAGTTATCACAACAGCCTGAGCAAATATGAAAACTATTGTCTTGCTAACATTTAGCAGAGCAAGTCATTTGGTAGCCATTTTGGTAGTTTTCAAACAGCTAAACAGCTAGTTACTATGTAAGCTATCCAATTAAACTGCAGATTTCCTCAATCTTCCAAAATAAGTATGTCAGGTAGAATGATAAGTACACTGATGAACATTGAAGTATTAAATGATATCTTAAGTAATCTTGCTTACAGACAGACAACTCTGACCTTGGTAGAGGAAAAATGGGGACTTGTTATTTGCAATTCATCATTCTGTCTAAAATCGTTTTTATTAGAGACACTGTACAGTTTCCTGGTTCTAGTTAATTATTTTTATAAAGAGCAAGATCCAAGGACAGATTTTCAGTAAAATTTTGACAAAATGTGATTCAACAGTGAATATCTTGTGATGTTTAATAATCAGCACAACTTATTAGGGACATCAGAAATACCCACAACAAAACCTGTCTACCTATTCCATATATATATATTTTTTTTATTCTACAATAATATTAGAGAAGTTCTTCATCGTTGTATAGTATTGCAAATGCATCTAAATTTTCAATTCAATTATATTTATGTAGTGCAAATCACAACATATGACATCTGACAGCACTTAACATAGTAAGGTGAAAACCTTACAAATTTTTAACAGAGAACCCAACAATCCAAAGTTGCCTTTGGACTCTCTCTGAGCAAGTGTTCGGCAACAATGGAAAGGAACCAAAAAAAAAATCCTTTCAAATACTACACATGCCAGAACTTGTCACCAATCACAAGCACAAGTGTCTGCTCAAGGGAACACAGAAATCTGGGAAAAGAACATTTAGATCTTTGTCTTCATAAGTTGCCTGAAAATGTTTGGATACTGCCTCCATATTGCAAAGGAGACAGAAGCAGAAGTGTATTCAGCTGTACCTAGCTGTGTGGAGGCCGAGGCCAAGTGTTGCTCAGTGGCGTGCATACAGCTGATCTACAGTTAAGTCAGCACCTCAACTCCCCCCTTACGCCTCCCTCTCATCTCCTGACAGGGGCTTCAGAAGGGGGAAAGGTGGCCTCCAGGGGATCCACATGAGAGCAGAGCAAGATGGATCATCTTGTGCCATGATAGCCCTGGATAAACATCTGGTGAGGGGAACGCAGACATTTCCATAGAGACCCCCCTTCTCCTTCCAAACCCACCCCAGAGCAAAATAAAATAAACCAGTCATCCTTAGCTTGGCTGACATGACACACACGGGCTGTAACCTAAACCCTAACCCACGCCCATTCACTAACTCTGCCAGAACTCTTTAAATAAAGTTTTAGCATGCCACTTAATTAGTCCAGATGTTTTAATGCTTGAAGAGAGCTGGACTGTAAAAAAATTTTAAAAAATGTCCATAAAAACACTTGTGTGTGTATAAAGGGAGGGTAAAGGGAGGGATCTTGATTTATGCTTGTAAGCAGGAGAGCTTAGGTTCTCAATCATCCAAAAGGTTCCCCACTAAGGTTGGAATCTAGTCATATTTTGGTTCTTGTTGCAATTTGGCAACCCATTCCGACTTCTTAAACTAAATCTTTTTCAATAAGAAAGAGAAAGCAGGTAGAATGATGTTGCTCGAGCGTTATTTGCAGGCCTTTGTCAGCCAACTAACTGCGTACCCACTGGAATGTGTCTTCTGTGTTGGTAGCTCGCATAGCTTCTTGTCAATTTTAGTCACAATCTTACAGTAAAATGTTTAAGCTTCTTATAGTCAATATTTCAAGGTTATAAAATCAATAGCTATGAATAGCAGCCTTCACAATTGTAAGCTGTGAAGCAGCTTTTCAGTCTGTAATTGTCAGCTCAAGCTGCAACAGCAGAGACATTTCAACAGTATGATTTAGTGGTCAAAAGTCACATCATTAGCGTTAACACTGTCAGATGAGACAGAACTGTAAATGTATCTGTCATCCCATCATCACTGTTTTTAAAGGCTGATTATTTTTTTTAATGAGTATAATGAGCAGTAATTAATATAGTGGCATGTATAGTGGAGGAAGGATTCGACTGAAGGAGAGCGAGCTCGTCCATGCAGTTTCTTTACTAAACGTGGCAAGCAGCCAAAGAGGAGACAGTGTGGCAGGGATATGAGTGGTTTAGCAGTCACAAAACCTCCACCATAATCCTACTCCTCCTCTAGGGAAGCTGTTATTTATAGCCTCATATATTTTTAACCTACTTCTCTCCTAAATAAAAAGCCAAAGAGGAGAGAAAAGGGAATGCAGATGCCTGGAGGAGTGCGTGTATATAATCATTGCACACTGAGCAAGAAACAGCTACAAGCTTGAATGCAGCGATTACAACACAGCAAAGTCTATTTAAGACTTTATTGCTCTGATGCCAACTGAAGCCTGGCAGGGAAAGTCACACTGGAAAACCACCCATTTCAAACAAACACTAAGACATTTCAACAAGGATGCCAACACTGGCAAAGACTTCGACAAGCATGACAAATAAACACTTCTGTACCTCATAGTGCTTTTAGGCACGTCTGCCTGGTCAGAATATGTGCGACATGCACATGAGTGACATCACACAGCGGTTTCTACTCAACTTTCTTCCTTCTCACAGGCTGTACTCAAAACGATACCTAATGACAGTTAAGGTCCATGTCAAGCAGTACTTGTGTTTCTAGACTGCAAAATTTATATATTTATAATTTATTTAAAATTTAAAAAATAAAATTATATTTTGTGGTCTAGGAAGGCCATATTCACTACAGAACCCTTTCTGTTGACCACAAACTGGAATAAAGAATGTCAACACAATCAGGTAGAGCTTGTTATTTGTCTTCCTGTCAGTAGCTTGACAAATTTATACTTTGCAATCTAATTTGTAAAGCTATTTCTGGAGCACACATTTCCACTGACACATCCATCTAATGCTTTGATGGTGCTGCAACAATCAAGTTAAATCTTAAAAATATTAATCAGAGGAATCTACATCAAGACTGCCAAGACATCCCCAGGGAAGGAAATAAATCCATCCAAAAATCAAGCAGCTAAGCATGAGATAGCATCATTCTGCAATCTCTAAACACAAAGCAAGCCAGTATGATCTCAAAGTTATGGCCTGAGCTGTATGAGTACAAACCTGTTTTTTGCGAAGCTTGCAAATCTGCTGCTCCACCATGGTGATCTCCCTGTCCACACGGTCCATGTTCTGGATCAGCTCTTCCTTGGAGAAGCGAGCTGGCACCAGATCCAAGTCGGGGTCCATGTGGACTGGGCTCACAGGAGAGATGGGCTCCAGCTTTCCCATTCCACTTCCACGCTCCTACAGAAGCACAAAAGATAAAAACGACATGGTCAAAAGTAATAGATACAATATCAGGAGCATAAGCACTTTCACTTCTACAGTCAATCATAATACATTCATCTAATAAAAGGTGGATAGAAATTTGAGGACAAAAAAAAAACATTAAAAAAATTATTTGCATGTAGTAAAACATGTATACAATGTTTGGACAAAACTAATTATAGACAGCATTTTAGAAGAAGGGATCTCACATACATGAAGCATAAAGACTCTGATGATAAGGAATGACCTTAGAGCAATGAATTTGCATGATTTAATTTCTTCTCTTTCCTGCTAAAAACATCCCCATCTTACTGTGACTGAAATTTTTCAAGGCTATGTTTTAAGAAATCATCTAAACACAAACTGTGTACACTTTGAGAAGGTAACACAGGGCAGTAATTAACTCCTCTGGGTAATGAAAGCCAGTGTGGTGTCTCAGTGTCACTAGACCACATTAATGAATATGAGGTTACTGCCTCCCTTGCCGGAATTATGCACAAGAGTTCTGGCATCTGGCTCTGTTGAGGAAAATTAGTTGAAAATATGATTATTTTTTTTTTGGTTTTAGGATGTAGGGGGAAATCTGAAGGGCAGTACAATGTGTGTGGGTTTAAATTCAGGAGGTACTTATTAATCATGTCTTCTGGCAGAAAAATGGAAATGGTGTGTGTCTGTCAGTCAAGCCAACAATACACAGTGCAGCTCATCAACTGTGCAGCCATACTGATGATAGAGTGACTGCAGAAGCAATTTATGAACACACTGATCTCCCAAGTACAGCACAGTACTCCTAAGCAGAGGTTGGTAGTAAACAGTAAAACGTAGTAAACATATACATATAAATATAAATATACATTACATGCATGCAAGTACCTTTTTGAGTACATTTTTCATGTTGTAGTAGTTCTAATGCTGCATAATTTAGACTCTTAACTGAGTAAAATGTTACAGGAAAGCGTGAATCTTACTCCATTATGTTTGGATACATTCATCATGGTACTTGTGCACTCTGTGACCTTTTTGGCCATGTCACCTTATGACTGTTCGTAGCAATATCATGACTGAAGCCAACAGCAGGAGGTTTAGATGAGCAGAGCATTCATGGCCTCACTGTTTTGTTTTTACACTGTCAGAGTTTTGCTTTCAAACAGCGCTAGCAGCTAATATTAGCTGAACGCAGTGAGCTGCAGTTGTGAAAGCTGGTCTGAAGTCAGTACATCAGAGAACTACTTGACACTGAAGTGACAGAGTAAGTGTGTCTGTTACGTTAATCATCAAGTATCAAGCCTCAATATTGTTACTCCATGGCTTACTCTCTTAATAAACATGTTGAAGCTAACCTTTGCAACTCTATATGACTACTTATGGTAATTAATGTTACCCGATTAAACAAGACATGGAAATAGAGAGCAAAATATTCACTTAAAAACAGGAGTTTTATCTTATGTGGACAAAAGTTAAGTTTCAACAGCAGATGGTCCTCCTCGGAGAAACTTAAGAAAGTGAGTCGAAGTCACAGTTCTCTGGCAGACTTTGTCAGGTTATCCAGCAAGATTCACCTGTACTTTCTTTCTCCCATTTTAGTCGCTGAAGTTTTTAACTACTTCAGCAGAGTCGTAGGTGTCTTGGTGGCCTACCTTACTAGTAATTTTCCTGCACGGTCACTCAGTTTTTGGGGATGTGCCATATTCCTTCAGTTTCTGAATTATGGATTTAGTCGTGCTCAAAGGGATATCCAGCAACTTGAAAATGTTCTTGTATCCGTCCCTTGACTTAGGGCTTCTAAATAACCTTTTAATGGAGTTGCTTGGAGTGTTCTTTTGTGTTCATTGTGTAGTTATAGGCAGGTGTAATGATTCAGATACAGGCATCTTTATACTGCAGTTACTGCAGATGCATTAACTGCACTGAGATTATTTCCCTTTCACTAACTGTGTGACTTCTAGCACCAACCTGCACAGCAGCACCTGTGTAGAATTAGGTGAGTGGGTTTTTTTATTTTTTATTTTTCTTTAAAGGGAGTGAACACTTGTGCAATCATTTATCTTACATTTTATAATTTTAATGAATAGATATTGCTTTATTATATAAAATGCCAAATTAACTTGAGCATGATGAAATGTCTAAAAGCAATAGAAGGGGAAAATTTCCACAGGGGAGGAAGAACAGATACATGTATAAAGGAACACGCATATTGGATTTCAGATGACAACAACCGCCTAACAGCAAGTAGCAGTCATTTGTGAAAATATTTCATCTTCCAAATTTCACTGATTTATCACTACATTGTTTGACAGTTTAAAAAAAAAACTGTCTCTTACAAGTCCTCAAAACCAAAGCTAACATAAAATCAAATTTCTTGTGTCAAACAAAATTCAATAAATATTAAATTTACTATTATTATTCACCAATGTGTGTGTGTGTGTGTGTGTGTGTGTGTGTGTGTGTGTGTGTATCTCAAAACCATTTGTCAGAATTTCTATTAAATTGACAAAAGATACCAAAGAAAGCAAACCACCACATCTTTCTGTCACTACTGTTTTGTCAATATATGTGAACCATAAAATCACTGCAGAAAAAGGCTGCACTGAACCGATGTACATGAAATGAAGGCGCTGTTATACGTGGCTGTTTACACAACGACACACAGAAATGAGAAGGGAGGTCCTACTTGTTCTGCAGGGGAAAAAATTCACCTGTTTCTGATTAGTGACTGTATGCGTGTTACTCCAGTCTGAATGTATGCGACCATTCTAGAGTTTATCCTCCATAAATGACTGCGCGTGTGATCCAGCTTGGGTTTTGTTCTGTGTTATTTTTAAACGTCTGAAATGAAGGTTATGTAAGTGGGCTAATCTGGACTAGGCAGGCGGCATTACAGCCCTGTAGACCTGCTGTGACAGAAAATGTCACAAAAATTCACCACACATAAATACAAAAACAGCACAATAGCTCCTAGGTTGCCTCGACTTTGTCAAAAACAACATCCTTGAGTGCAGATAATACCACTACCCTCCTTACCTGTGTTACAGCTCAGCATGAGAGAAAATTTCTCTCAGGGGACAAAATAAAATCATGATGCAAAAGCAGGTATCATCACAAACAAGGATTTCAGAGAAGCAGAACATAATCTTCAAAAACCATACCAGTGTTGGAGGGGGTGAGGCAGAGAATCCCATGTTCTTTCCCTGTTGCCTTTGCTACTGCAGTAGTCTACAGGTGATGACATTTTTGAACTCTTTTTATTTACTGTCGCTATTTTGCTCCACTGCAAAGTCAACCAGTGTACACAAGATGTTTAGACAGCTTGTTTAACCAGGAGGGATTTGATGGTATGACAAAACTATCAAGTAGAAAGTATTCAGTTTTCTAAATCAGGGTTTCTCTCTGATCTTGTTGCCTACACTGACATCTATTCTTGTCAACAGTACAGCAACACATCCACAATAACCACACCTGTGACATTGTGTTACAAAAAAAAAAAAAAAAAAGGTCATGGGCCAATAGTTAAGCCACGGGCCCAGCACAGCTTACAGCTTATATGCCCCCAGCGACCCTGGTCACATTTAGAACATCTGACTGCATGATGTCTGGGTCTGTGCAATGCAGCAGGGTTTTAGAGTCACAAGTGTATATAGACACTATTTAAATAAAGTCTTAGTCATCTAGTTTTCTAGAATGAGCATCTAAGTTCACATCAGTTCCTCTAGTTTGGACAGCAAGCCCATATCATGGCTCTAAACAAGGGTAGAATTGAAAATCCTTAAAATGCATGAAACATCGATGTATAAGCAGTGTAAGCAGCCTTTCAGTGAAGCTGAAGTGCTGCAAACAACATTTTCAGATTTATGTTCCTGCTAATTAAATGTTTTGAGCAAAAGACTGATTTTAACCATATATACTAATTCTATACATTGTCTTTGATAGGTTTCTAAATGTGAACTGCTGCTGCAGTATTATATAATTTGATCATTGTTACTATGACAATAATTAAAGTAATCACAGTATACTTGTAAGTCAGACTAGGAGTAATGTAGCTTAAGCCTTCTTTATTTCTTGGGATACACAGTATCTGAATGTTGTTATGTGGCAAAAATCTAAACACTATAAAGTTTTATCACTTTCTAGCTGTAGAAAGACTTGTTTAAGTAAATGTGTGTTGACTGCTGGCATGTGTAAAAATCGCTGAGGATCAAGTGCCAATAAGGTCACAAGGACAGATTTTTGGCCTTTACCGGACGCTATTATCACAAAAAATACAAAATATATTTGTTTCCCAGACATGTTAAGAAAAAGGGCTGTTTGACCATGTTCACAACATAGTGTGCTGGCATTTAAGTATAGGCATGCAAGTGACGTTCAGACTACAATCTGCTCCATATGCAGCAGTCAAAACAATCATAAAATATACCTAATCCATTTATGTCAGCTGACACAGACTGATCTCTGGCTGTCACTGTTAGCAGATGCTCCAGTCTGCAGTGTACTTAATTTACGTCACTGCTAGAACACTAACATTTGCTCTGCCACGCACACCATCTTTCAATCTTTATGTTTTTAATTACACTTTCCTGTATCGAACTCTTGCTGCAAACCAGTCAAATTATGCTCTACAATTGATAACATTAAAATGATTTCCGTTAATTTCATTAGAGATATACAGTCACCAAAAATAGAAAAGTGTCAGACCAGGGGAGGGGTATGAATATTGGATTTTTGAGGTGAATGTCATTACTCATATTTGATAACAATATATTGGCAGACATATGAATCAATTCCAATATATTTGCAATAAGTTTATATCAGGAGAATCATCTGTCTGGCTCTGGCTGCAAAGACATTTCAGATAACTCGCACAGACCCACTCAGACAGTCTGCTGACACAGGTTTGACCAGCATCACAGTTATGGACTGAATAGTGTATTACTCAGCTTTCTTTGATTTCTACAACCACATAAATATCCCATAACATACACTAAAATGCTCACTAGAGCAGGGAGCGCCGTCAGTCGCTCGGTCTATGAGCCACCATTTTCTGTTGACAAAATGTGCTTTTCAAAGCTGGTAGTTCTTGCATAGGGTCGCCTAAGTTCACACTTTCATTGCACATTATGATCAAAGTGCCCTTCTCCTACAGAACTGGATGGGTGCACCTAACCTGTCTTTTAAGAAGCTAGCCTTCTCCAGCAAATAAATCAGTCTTGCCAGGTGGAATTGAATGATTTAGAGAAAATCTCTAACTGCAATTTTCCTGACAGACATTACAATCTGATTTGCTTTATTTCAATATTCACTGTGCAATAGATTTAAAACATGATGGAGTATTACCACATGACATCATCAAATGTGTGACTGTCACACAAGAAGGATGACATACATTTGTGAAACCACTGACATGAGAGGAAACTCTGGTTAGATGTGAGTCAATACCTGAAGTGTCCTTGGGCAAGACACTGAACCCCAAGTTGCTTCCAATGGAAGATAAACACCTTGTGTGAGTGTGTGCATGAATGGGTGAATTAGAAAAACACTGTAAAGTGCTTAAGGTTAAAGAGGTGTTATATAAATGTGGACCATTTACATTCTGGCACAACAAACTGGAGGGGGCAGTCCTAACACTCACTTTTTAAGTCGTACACAGGAAGTGTAATATATATATATTTCTTCCTTGCAAAGAACAGTGTTCTACGTTGCTCATTCTAATCTGCTCATTTTCAAATTTCTTTCTGCATAATGGCATACATAACAACATGCTGCTTTTGTCCTTCTATGATTCCCTCTCCATGTGAGTCATGCTGCAAGCATCAGCTTTGTCTGATTATATTGGCCTACTCCCTCTTTTCCTGTTGGTCTTAGGTCTCTTACTCCTCCCTTTTCCTTTCACCCTTTATCTGTGCCTCCCTACATTTGCCCTTTGCCTTATTTTCAGTTGCATCTCCCTGTCTATCACACCATCATTTGGTGCACTTGTTCCATGCAGTGATTGCATCTGACATCATTTATATAATGGGTTTACAGCTCTTGCCGCTCAGAGGGGAATTACTGGCATACCTGAATATTTCCCTGCTAGCTTAGGAGTCAATGTCTTTTTTTCCTGTACCCTCTGTTATTGGTGTATCTATTTACCATTCCTTGGCTGTCTGCCTCCCCTGGCAGTTTGAAGCACTCTGTGTAATGTCAGGAACACCTCCCCATCAGCAGCTCTACACTGCAAGCAAGTCGTTTTGATCTGCAGTTCACACAGTTTCATCCTCAGTCTTTTGAAATCTAGGTCAGCTCTATTATTTATTAATTGCTGTTTCACAACTCCCTTTTCTTCCCACCGCTGCTCTCAGAGATCCAGCTTAGCTACAATGCAGAATCTCCTTCTATGACTTCTGCTGTTGTGTGTCTAATAACATCCTTTGGGGCTCCTAAGGAGGCTGGCAGGATTAATCAAAAAACAGAAGATTTCCAGAAAAACTTCCTAATATTTTTTCAAGGGAAAAAAATCCTAATAACTACATTGTGATATATCATAATTTCTCAGTGTCTTTTATATGCACTGATCTCTCAAAATACTGGCACATTAATAAAAACAGTGTAATCAAGCTTGCTCTCTATTATGAAAATAAGAATAAATTTGACTTGTGCTTCACATTTTACATAGCATTTGTTTGATTGGCTAATAGTAACAGCAAAGTCAAGGAGGAACTATTTGTCATTTGTTTGACTACCATACTACTGTAAAATACTCCCAACTGTCCGTATGATACACAGTACTTTAGAATGACTACTGACCTTTGTCATATCCTCAGCTCCTCCCAGAGTCAATGGTGGCCGGTGGGGTGAAGGCCTCATCAGAGACTCTGGTCCCATCTCTAACCGGGGCCGTTTGATCTCTGCATAATCCACCTCTGATTGGCTGGCAGGCTCTTGTAGGTAGATGTGCTCGTAGCGGATATGCTGCTCTTGTCCCCTGCAACAGAATAAATATAAATGTAGCAGAAAAACTACAGAAAGCTTCTGAACAATCTAAACACACAATAAGCAACAGTCATCTGTTATTAATATAGGTGTTGTGATGATAAGCCTTTTATGCCACAACAATTATCAATCAACAGCCAATGAAATGAGAGCAGCATTTTCCCTGATATTTACCACTGCTAGGACTGTAGATGTTTTTGAGCCTTTTCAACTGGCAAGTGGAAACAGTTAATTCATTTTAGGACACCTTTAAATTTATTGAACAAATTCTCCTTCACCCCAGCTGTACTTTGACATAAATGCTAAAAATGACAACTAATGTTAGTTGCTGAATTTTAGCAGGTTAAGCATGTTAACATACCAAAGTTAGCCTGGATGTACACACTGATATAACAAAACTGTCAAATTTGAATGTCTTTGACTGGGCTCAATTGCTAAGGTGCTATGGCCAGACAAGTAGGTCAGAGCATCTCCAAAAAGAAAAGGCTCGTCAAGTGCTCCTGTGGTAAGAATACCTACCGACACTGATCCAATACAAGATAAGCCAGAAAATCAGCAATGGGGTATTGTGGGACATGTCTGATCATACAAGATATAAAGGATCTGTCAATGTCTACGTGTGTGATGTGGGGAACATTCAGAGGTCGTAACTTGGTAGTTGGTGCTGTTTTAGTGGCGCACAAAGTACCAACAGTCAATTAGGCAGGTATGATCATGATGTTTTGGCTCATTAGTGTATATTGGCTATTAATTTAAAGCACAGCATAGCTCAGGTACAGCTGACGCAGGTGAATTAAAGCTTAGACTGATGAAAGTGGAGCCAAATCAGATAATGTATGAGGGAACAACTTGTCCCAAGGAACAAGAGAGTGTGAAAGTCTGACAATTTGATCATGATCTCTACCTGAAATGCTAGAACACACAGCTCAATAACAGAAAACATCCTGCCAAAGCATACTCAAGGGAATGTGGAAAAAGCAGAATGAAGCATAATCAATTAACTCAAAGGACAGTAGACAAAAGAATCTACTAGGCCCTATGTACAAAGTGAAACTGATGCCATAAGTTAAGTAATCTGAGATCAATGTGAGGCAAAACCAATCGTCTACACAAGAGACAAGGATTGGTGCAGGCTTGTCTATACATGACGACCTAATCAAAACCCATTTATTTAGACTACATGTAACTACACAAAGAGACATTTGTACACGAGCACAAGATGACAGTAACAGCCTGAGATCAGGCTGACCTAAATCTTTACTGTTGTGTTCAAGGCACACACAAACGCCAGCTGGCTTGATTTGGTTCAAACAGAATCATCGTCAAGTAATCACTGAAGGCTTTTTTTCTGCAAAATGGGAGCATACAATGGGTCACTCAGGACTGGGAAGTGGAAAGAAGGGGAAGCAAGAAAATTGGAAATGGTGACTCACTACCATCTAATGGTTTTAAATATAGCAGCATATTGTGGACAACTTCTTGTGTGGGGTTTTACAGGCAGTGGTACACAGTCAATGCTACAAACACAAAGCCATGAAGTGCTTTGTTTAGAGTTGCCGTAGGAACTACAACACTCCCCCTGGGGTTTTCCCCTACTATAGAAAGCCTAAGGTGTAGCATTTGAGTGTTTTTGCAGAGTGCCTCAAGTCAAATGAATGTTAAAAGGTATTTAGGTGACAGTTCAAAATTGAACAATGGCGAGTGTTCTCTGTGCTGACGAAAAAGAACAACAAAACTGAGAGGTGATCTGATCTCAAACAGGAAGGTAAACTCGCAATATAAAAGGTGAATCAACAATCAGTGTTTGGACAAACATTTGTCTGATTAGTGTGGGACAGATTCTTATCACTATGCTAATCAAACAGCTGACTGGACAACACTTTGTACTGTCAACTCTGGATGTAAATTACAACCATCAACTAGAGTAAGAAAGTTGCAAGCCAGCAGTGTAAACTTTTAATAAGGGTATAATTCTTGTGGATATTAACAACAGTGATAGTAGATGGAAGATATAACTAATGCAGCCTACTTTTGTTTTCACAAAAATTGCTAACATAGCCACATAGATATTCCGTACAGAATTAGACTAGCCAGCAAAGCTTGAGGACATTAAATTCTAAAAGACATTTACAATTTAAAAAAAAAAAAAAAATGTTTTCACATTTAAAAAAAATAACAATATTCTAATAAGCTGTTACCACCATAACATACACAAACCTAGACTTAGCGTTAGATAACAGGCTACTTTTGCCCAATTCCAATTACACATTAATGGCACCATTAAACTCATTAGTACATCGAGGGGAAAAAAAACAGCAACAAGCAAGAGCAAACTTGCAAAGGGGACTGTGCAGTCAAATGACAGATACCAAATGTTAACTGCATTCGCTACTTGGATCTGGGAAATTTTATTAGCCCACTTGTAAATGGCTGTCTGGTCTTTCTGAGGGAACTGTTTCCTCACATCTGCCCTGGAGGCCTGATGCAGAATGTCAGTGACTTTGCTGCCAGTGTCAAAATGGAAGTGGCTTCTGAAGAGAAGAGGGAAAACACAACCATAATTGCTGGTCCAGGCCCACAATTGCCAAGTGTATGGTTTCTCTGTGCCAAAAAGCATGGAGCCCATCTTTGTCTAGTAAGGTGCTAAAGAGGGGGTGCAAAAATCGAGGCCATCCACTGACTGTACCAAAGTTATAAATAGGAGAGAAATGTCAAGTCACGTATGTGCAATGCGGAGCTAAAATTGCATGTTAAAAGGTTAAATGAGGTGTCGAGGAAAGAAATAGATTGTGGCTGTTTGTTTGTGTTATTGCCTAAACAGTACCTTGGAAAATAGTGGGCCAAAATTATTACCCAGATGGTGTGCGACTACTCCCCCGGACATAATTTTTTCATTCATTCAGTCGAATACTTCCTCATCTCCATAGAGGGCTGGCACTTACATAATCCCATCATCAAGCTCTGACTCTCCCTCTCTCTCTCCCTCGTTCGTCCCCCCCCCTCACCCTCTTGTGAGCGTGCAGAATAATCTGATCCCTGGGGAGGATTTGTCTGGAGGATGAGAGAGAGAGATGTGTGTGGAGGTGGGGTGAAGCATGCAGGGGGAGAAGGAAGGGGGCAGCGCATCCCAACACCCTACAACGACTCCATTACTTTCTTACTGGCTTGGGCCCCCACTATGACAAGAACAGAGATCATGTACGCTGATAGTAGGCTATTATTGTGAAAGCGCTACAGTGTTTGTGTTGCTGCCAATCTCTTCGTTGCTCCCCAGAGGAGCAGCTATGCAGCTGTGCACGGCACAGGGGTGGCTAACAGAGAGAGACGCCTGGCTAAGTGCACCACAGCTGGGATGAATGAAACTGAGAAAGTGCAGAGAAGAGAAGGGACAGCGGGTGGAGTCCAAAAACTTAATGCAAAATGTGTTCAAGCCCTAAACTTTTCTGTCCATGTCGCTGAACGAAAAACCACATTCCCCAGTGGCCAAAACAACATGAACAGTAATACTGACAAAATGCATTCCAGTATCCACATAAATGCTGGATACTGGAATAAATGAAATCTGTTTTTTAGAATTCAATCTGTCTTGTCAGTTGTGGAGAAGGGAAGGCGAACTTTGGGATACAAGAGACTTTGTGGCTTTTTAGTAGAGGTGAGAAAAGCAAACAAAGCCTTAAGGCGCTGTCATTATTTTTTGGGTTGAACCAAAGAAGGGTAATATGACAATTCCAAATGGAATGCCATGAAGAAAAAAACTACAAGAACTATGAACACAAACGATAGCAATACATTAATGAATTCAGTTATAAGGCATTACTAAAATCATCTAACTGCACATATAGATATACCAAAACACTCAGATTGTTGCTTTGATAACCATTTACTACATTAATTAACAGATAAGTAAAACAATAACCCCAGTCATTCTACAAACCACCAGCACCAGATTTGTTTTCACTCTCAGTTCTGGCCAGAAAGAAACTCTGTTAAGTGGTTACACTGCCTTGTTATGCTTGCTCTAAAATGTATTCTCTCTCTTTCTCAAGAAGCCGGGATGATCTCAGACAGATGGGAAGAGGCGGAGTGACTGAGATATTGCCTGGAGTAAAGAGGAGGATGAAACAAACAACTAGCGCAGTGGTTCACCAGTGATTATACTGTTGTGGTTTTCTGACCTGTAATTAGGGTAAATTTGGAGTATTAGCTAATTCCATGTTTTCACCTTGCCTTCAGTGCAGACAATTAAGGACTAGATGAAGGATACATAGTTCTGTCATCCTGAGAAACAGATAATGGCATCCTTTAAGAAAAAACACAGTTTCTAAGGCCATATTAGCACTCACACTCTCTGTCAGAATGTGAACAACCCTGAGCTTGCTACAAATGGAGACATGGTGTGCAGAATTACTCAGACTTATGAAAAGACAAGCACACATCTTAGCACAGAATAGATTGAAGGATTGCCAAGGCCAGAATTACACTATTCAGAGTCTGAATGAGAACATAGAATGAGGGCTTCAAGCTGGATTCTAAGGCCTCTAAAGGAATGCTGAAGGCCTGATATATTCCACTGAAAGACTCCCCACCCCCAGATGCCTGCCAGTAAGACCAGTGGTTCACAGTCTGCACAAAGAAACGTGGGCAAACTGTCTGTAGTCTCCCTTTCTGATATGATGGTTGTTTTTTTTATCTATTAAAAAAAAACAAATTCACTGCTCCGCTGTAGAAGTTGCACAATGCATCTGTCTTGCAGAAGCATCGAGTGAGTCAACTCACAGAGAGTGCCAAAGCACCAGTGACTGAATGAAAGGTGTCAGTAAATCAGGAGCTGGTGGGTAGCAGTCGAACTGTGTTGTTTATTTCTGTATCAACCCATGACCCACTGTTCCCACACTGTAGGCTAGGCTAATAACTGTTAAACGGGGCCAACTCACAGCACTGTGCTTTACAATGAAGACCATAATCCTATCTGATTGATACTTAAAGACCCCAAGACAACACGCAACAACCCACCACTGCTACAGAGTCATTCTACCATCTGCTGTCTGCTGTTGTAACTCCATTGTAGTCCAGACACAAGATAATTTATATTTTTGAAAGACATCTCCCACTCTGCATCTGACATAATATGCATGGAGCAAATATCTGCCCGTGAATTTCTAGTAAAATCTTCCAAGGTTTTGTACTCCTTGCATGTTTTAACATATGCAAGAAAATCGGCCATGACAATCAACTGAGGAGAAAAAAAATATTCTTGTGACTTATCCTCTGCATCATGCAAAATTCATATCATGCGCATACATTATTCATAAGTACTCATCAAGTCTCATCCTCAAAAAAGCACGGCTATATAAATAATAAAGAACAGTGGTAGGTACAAGACCTGAGTCTCCAGAGACAAAGTACTATTCATACAATGCTTTGCCCGACTTACTGTTGGTCTATTGAAGATGGAAAAACTCTGCAAGCTCCATTGCCCTGCAGAGCCGTTTAACACAACATTACAGAAGAACGGCTTGCGGATGCCAATTACATAAGGATTACACTGGGGGAGGGTTAACAGGCAGAGGCTTTAGTAGAATAATACTGCATAAAAATTCAGCTCGCATGAGGCTTCCACTGAGCATGCTCTGTCTCTCAGTTGTCAAAACTCAACCAGGATAGATACATTAAAGGGGCAATACCACTTAACCAGCGCATTCACAGATCAACACTCAGTTGGCCGCACCTTCGCTGCATGACATACCTCAGTCTCCCACATTTGCTGACTCTCAGCTATCTCTAAATAAATTTTTTAAAAATTTGCAGTAATAGTATTGGACAACAACAACAAGAAAATATTCGCATTTGGTATAAAAAAAAAAAACATAAAATCCCCTAAACCCCAGCAGTAGAGAATGCTGATAAAAATAAAACAATGCTACAACTCTGTATTTTAAGCTATAGCAATTATTTTCATTTAATTAACTTTTGTTCATTTCCTTACATGCACTGATCTATATCTGTATTGTAACTAAATAAACAAACAAACACATACATACATATAACAGCCCTCAGAAAAGCAGGTAGTATAAAAATTGCAATTTAATAAAAATACACAAGGAATCTAAACACAGTGCCATTTAGGGGGGAAAAAAATGTTTTTCACAAGAGAATAGACCTTATCTAGTATAAGCAGGGTGCTCCTACCTTTCATTCCCAGGCTGGAACTCTGAAAGTAAAGAGGGCCGACGGCGATGGGGCTGGGCCAGGTGGGAGCTATAGTCCCTGGCATGATGAGAGTGGTAGTCAACCAGTCCCACTTCCTGGAACACAAGCAACAAGAAGTTGTCAGCATACCAGAACCAGAAATATTTCATTTATTCACTTCTCCTTGGAAATGCTGCGAAGACCCCAAAACAGTAAAAACATTTTAACATTTTCCTCCATTTCCTGCCTTGTATCTTTTGTAATATCCCGTCTTCTTCTCTCCAGCTCTCATTTCTCCCTCTCTTTCCAGTTGTTTCTCAAACAAGTGGGGAAACGAATGCAGTTACTGTAAACGTGCACCTCTGCCAATTTAGGGATTGCAAGACACAGTCCATCAACCCTCATCTTCTCCTGAATGTGTTGACAAGAGGGAGTGGTAGGATTAACTACAGGTGCAGCTGTGAAGAACTTGGGGGGTAAGCCTTGGATTGTTGAGCCATTCAATAACAAAATAAGCCTTGCAAACACTGGAGGTCACTGAATGAACTTTTACAACAGCTTGAGGCCTCTTCTTTAAACCACAGACAGCTCTGTCCCTCATGGGCAGACGGACATAATCTTGATAATTAGGAGATGTGAGTGGAAATAATGGGGAAGACCTTAATGTGACTCCACAACGACAACATGAACTTTCAACTCAAACATCTAATGAGCAACCCTTTCTGGGTTCACAACATGCAACCTGGGAAAGTTTCTATTGGAAAAATAGCAACGGGGGGCCTCTATGGTGAGGCCCTCTCCAGCGGTTCTGAGTAACGCTTTGTTTACAAAATATCCACCAAGCAGGCAGAACCACAGTAACATCCCGAGGGCAGTTTCACCAAAAAAATATTGCGGCACTCCAGGTGGTGCCATTAAAACGCATTGTGTGTCAGGCCTCTTACCGTGTGTGCCCGTTGCAGCTGCAGTGGTAGAGTGGCAGGGTTTGGCAGGTGCCGTGTGTCCACAGTCCTCCGGCCCGGCGGCACAGACTGGGGATGAGAGGACATGCTGGCACAGCCGCTTCCTCTACAGACTGGAAGTGGGTGTGGCTGTGGTGCAGTTGCTGCACATTATCGGCTGTTTCATTTAGCCAGTAACCTGTAAGGAAAAAACACAAGATATTTCAAGTTGAGCGACTTCACTGGAACTGCTCTGGACGATTCGATACTTGCAGAGAACAGTTAATAAACTTGCAATATGCGTCACTGTTGCTTAAAAACAGTTGGATATTTTCTAACTCACACCTCCAGAGTAGCTCGAGATTAAAATGTGCATCTCTCTCTCTCTCTCTCTTCCGGATATTAGAATGTCATCACCTCCCCACCACAGCTGCTTCCCCCCCTTCCCGCCTCAATTGCTCCTAGTAAAGAAGTGAGAGCCCCTGCACCTGCTAGACACAACCCCTCCTTCACTGCTTACTGAATGGCCCACTGTCCTAACACTGAGGACCACAGACAGAGACCAGCCAAGTCAAGCAGCTAACCGGTAAAAATACTCAGAGTTTGATGGGGTTTTAGAAGCAACGTAAATAACTCATTGCCAGATAGAGATGTAGGCCTGCAGAGTAAGGCACTCGATTTTAACTCCAGATGACGTTATTTAAACCAGAGTGGCCTCATCTACAAGGTGTGTGTCATAGATCAACGAGGAACGATGATATAAGTGAGTTAAAAACAGCCAGGCAAACACACAGACAAATCATAGCTATACTGATAAAAATTAAAGATAATGCGGGGAAAAAAGGAGGTGGACATATGGAATTAGTTTCCACCCCTCGGTGGGATGAAGGGAATCGTGAAATTCTACAGTCTAGACAATGTTAACTCTGTCCAGCCTGGTTACTGCACCATTATCAGGCACTCCGTGGTGTACGAGTACTGGTGACATGTGTCCCTGTAACTGCTCCCAACACAGAAATTAGGACTCCTGCCATTTCAATGGGTCTCTGACTAATGACGCCTCTCTCTCATAGCTCATGTTTCAGCACTGTGTGAGGCACATAACAAGAGGCACGGTGGCAGAAATACGGGCTCTCGACATGGCACGGATCGAAATCTTGACAAGATAGCAAAGTGCTCTAAGTGCACTGCAATTTTGTTAACTGAATAGGAGCACCAACACCAATGTGCTAACCTTTCAAAACAAGTCCTCAGGCACTTTATTGCTAGATGACAATGAATCCATTTTAAAATAAATACCATGTAAGTATGAATTACAACAACAATTATTTAATAACCACAACAACTCATCAACATATCCACTGAAAGGTTGTTTTCTACATTAATCACGTTACAGCTGAAAGAAAACCTAACTACTTAAATGATAACAAAAATTCACATTAAAAAAATACAGCCTAGATGCTCTGTAGGACTCCATTATACATTTTTGTACATTACTAGTTCATTTTATGGCCTTAGATTGATCTTGCCATTTCTTCATCCTGATTAGCGTGACTTTTTTCAACCACTTTGATCTGTCAGAGGTAGGGAAGGGAATCAGTAGCATTTTAGAGATACCAGTAGTCTTACCGATATTCTACCTTTATTTAATTTAAACATTATACAATTTCTTACAAGGCACACTAATGGTAAATGAGCTCTTTATACATGTATTTTATAAAAACTGCAAAGTTGTTAAGTTAATCTGTACATAGCTACTATAATGTGCAAGAAGTGCAAAATCAGTCAGCCTTTGAGAAATGTCCACGTAAGCCCTGTGCGTTTTTCTGTGTTTAGCTTGAGCGGTTATGTGACATATCCACACAGCAGACGCGTACGCTAATTATAGTGTGACTGGAACCATATGCACGTCCACTCTCCACGTTCAAAGTCTGGACCAGTAAGCGCACACAGATGTAGAAACCATGACTTAGCCTTTATGGTCTTTATTACTGTCTGTGAGATCTACTGATAATGGTCCATCTTACACATGCTTGTACAGAAAAACAACTTGCAGAGAGAGGCTCATGTGTTAATAGCAACAATTAAATATATCCCCACAGCTAGTTGTGATGCTTTAAAACAGGTAACTCATCAGATGCTTAAGAAAAGCGCCATACTGTTCAGAGTGTTGTAATGTTAGTTAACTGAAGAGTTGTTTCATCTGTGAATGAATGCTACCCTGACTTTGGTCAACTGGTCAAGCTGGAGAGGAGAGGGCTGACTGCAGAGCCAGAGGAGATGCAGGTCACTCTGTCCACAACAATGTGAATATGTGCTGTATATAGTCATTAGCCTGAAAACTAAAAGTCAACATTAGATCAAAGTCTCAGTCAGTGATGGTCTATAAACAGTGTAATATTAGCTCACTGGCACTAACGTCAGGTCAGTTACCTCTTTTAGTGGCCAGAGTTCCTCATAGTGATTCCTCAGTGTCCTAATCGGGACAGGTTGAGTAATCACCTCTGCAACCAGTAGTAAACAAGTACTTTTTATAGCACTATGAACCTGAGCCCAGATATACCAGAAGGTGTCTACATTGTTGGCATAGTATAACTAGTGTTAGAGTGCCAGTGTGCCAGTCTCTATTGTCTGACTCTAATTTTGACTCTTCTTTTTTTCCAAGCACAAAGAGGGGCCCTATCTAACCTTCCTTCCTGCTCGACTGTCACAAACACAAAGTGTCACTTGATTTCAGTTACGCAAAGGGCTCTATTACGAAAGGCTGAACATGGCACTGGTTGTAAGAAACAGTGGAGCTCTGTAAACATGGGCTCACAGAGGCCACGAGATGGGAAAACACGGCTGCAAGTCTCACACCAGCTAGAGACTGTGTCTTTGTGTCTAGCAGTCTAAACTGTGGCTTCAAATATTTTCAAGAAACTAGTGCACACTCAGTTTTTGGTTAGACAGACCTGAGTAAACAAACCACACAAAGGGAAGTCCTTGAGTAGACCTCATTGCTGATGAAATCTAGATTAAATAAAAACCTCACCATATTGACATAGTATGCAATATTCTCAACAAAAGGGCAGAAAAAGGGGCCAGGAAGACAAAGGGGGGTGAGATAAGCCATCCTACTCGGAAGCCTCTCTTTGATGACTGTCCAGTCCAGAGAGATTCCCCTGAGAAGGGGGAAAACAAGTCTGAAGGCAGTCACAAGATCCACAGAGGATAAAAAAAAAACCTGAATCAAGATGAGAGGACCAACACAATGAGAGGGCTTTGACACCAACTCTGAGGCGAATGGGGCCTTCCAGACGAGAGGCTAAACACATGCACTGGCACTGCTACAGACACCCACAGGCAAGTCGATGGCTCAGTGCCAAAACTGCAAATGAACTCAGTCACCTCACTCTCTCGCTCTAGCGTGCTTTCCTTCTCCACTCTCTTTTGCTCAAGTCTTTTGCACAGAGCAGAGTGGGCCTCAGCCTTCAGCAGCGCAAGCCAATATTTCATCCGCTTACCCCCCACCCTCCCTCTCCATTTTAGGAATGGCTGTGGAAATACTAGCACAGAGCACACAGACGGCTTCCAGCCTGCCAAGGAGAGCAGCAGGCAGACTTCAAACAACAGTTTAATTCTACTGACATAAACAGTTAATCAAATCTCTGTCTAGTCTGACTTGGTAGCTTGACAATCAAGCTCTAAAACAGAGTATAATGGACTCAACAGCTTGGTCTCATTCTTTACTGACAAAATTAAGATAAGCTATAAGTTCCTTCATACCAGATCTGTACTATCCTTGTGTCCATTTTAAACAAACTCAATTAGCATGATATAATTTGATCCTATCAAGCACATAACCTTGGAGAACATTGTGCAACATCCGAAATTCTCTTGTTTTTATTGTCTACTGCCTTTTTTAAAACAGTTTTTAACTACATGGCTTTAGATCTTCCGCAAATCCACAACATTTCTCTACTGTGAGGGTATTTCTAACTGGGAGTGATAAATCAATGAAATGACATTTTCACATAATCGGCACTGATTATTTGTTAGAGGAATGGTTAACAGGGGCTAGGTACCACAGCTATTGGGTCGTTTTTTATGGTGCGGAGTCATGATTCCAGTTTAGCAAGCCTCGCCTCTAACACTGCACACTATATTACATACAAATATTCTTATTGCTAAAGGAGGCAAAAGAAGAAGTAAATGTTGTTCATTCAGTAGGAGGGAGGAGATCCAGAGGGATAGACAGAAGTTATTTCTATCTTCTAAGAGAGTGGACCTGAGACAGTATGTTAAGTATACGTTAAATCTAAAATTAGCTACAAACATTACAGGGATGCGTCTCATCTGCCTTTTTTTTTGGTATTGTTAATATTTTATTTTATTTTGGTATCTGTTTTCTGCTTCTTTGCACCAATGGACCAAGTCAAATTCCTGGTGATGTAAAAATTACTTGGCAATAAAACTGATTCTGATTCTGATTCTGATTCTGATTCTGATCTCCAATTCCTAAGTAAAATTAAATGGATATGAAGAACAGTTTGTTTTGATGGTTTCCTGTTAGCAGTTCAACCTCACTAGAGCACCAACACTGTTATTGTTGAGGTTTGGAATAACATCCACTTAAACACAGACAACAGAAATCTGTGTTATTGGATTTCCGAGTTCCATTCAACATGGTTGACCACAACATGTTAGACTGGAAAACTGGATGGGACTTTCTGGCACAGTGTTAAACTGCTTTGAATCCTATTTGAAGAATAGAAAGCACTTTGTTCCAAATACATATCTGAGCATTCATAAATGAGATGAAGACATTTACATGCTCCTGTTAGATCAAATAATGGAACATAATGAAATATCCTGTAATGACACACAGATTTAGATGACGGTATACATGTACATCACAGGCACCGAGTAGGTGATCTGGACATATGAACAACTGGACGTCCCCCAATGTGTCCGATATACAAAGACAGAAGTGAAATAATTGTTCTAAGAAGAATGATTACACTTGTATTCAATTTCATTCTTGGGGTAGTCACAGGCTCCAAGGTAACGTTTAACATCCATATTAAGACAACAAATCTGCCCACTATCACCCTAAGAATATATCAAGAAGTAAAGAGACTCCACTTGTCACTGCATTTATCTTCATGGGACTTGACTACGGTAACGCTGTCCTTTTTGGTCTCTCTAAAAAGGTAA